CCGTAGCTTAAGTTAATTTAAAGCATGTCCCAATAAAAATAAGGATGCCTAATCGTTAGAGGGTGTGAGATGAGATTAACCATGAGATTTATAAGTTACGAAAGAACAAACTTATCCACTGGATCACTCCTTAGGGTTAAAAAATACTCTTTGTTAACATTTATGACCAAACACCCCTTGCTTTCTATCAATTTTTTTCCATACTACAAAAAATGAAAGGAAAATAAAAAGGGCAACACAACCAATAAAATTCAAGCAGGGGGCGGTTTCGATATTTATTTTGAAGAAGAAGGATGGAATTGTCATTGAAACAAGGAAGATATTTTTTTTTTTCTTTTTCCTTTTAAATTTGTTTCTTGACTTGCAGCCAGACGTTGAAAGAGAGAGGGAGAGAGTCAGAGAGAGTGCGAGAGTGCTGGGAAGGTGGAAGGTGTGATTTCACCTTTGTTATTCTCTCTCTTCCTATATATAATACTTATCCTTATTTGTTTATTATCCATTTCTACCTGCGTTTGGAGGTTATGGCCGGACGAGACAACCCACCAGTTGTTGCGGCTCTCTGAAGACTGAGGAGAGAGAGAGAGAGAGAGAGAGTGTGTGTGTGTGTTTGTGTGAGAGAGAGAAGATGGCGATGGGATCGTACCAGAATCTCAAGTTATAGAGACCCTCCTGAATACACAAAGCATGGCTCTAAATCTCCTTCGTATTTAAGTTCCGGCATCTTCTTCTTCCTCCTCAGGTACATCCAAAAAAATATATTTATTCCCTTTCTACCCCTTATGTTACTTTGCTTTTTACACTCTGCAACGCATAACCATCGATCTGCTTATTTTTCCTGTAGTTTCTGTTCAGAATGATGAAATGGGTATGTTTTGTTTCTTTGATTTGGGACTGTTGAGAGAAAGTGTTATTGACCAATGGATGTTTGAGAATTGTTGGGTTAGTCTAAGTGAAAACTACCTGATGATTGCACGGTCAAATGCTACGTAGTAAATGAAGATGAAATCCCTTACTTTTTTCACATTTTGAGTTGGGTCTGAGTGGTTCTGGTTTTTTGGATTCTAAAAGCTTATACGTGATGGGTTGCCGTTAATGTTCTTCTGAATAAGGGAGAGTTTGGTTTGTTTTTATCTCTACTTGCTAGTTGTAGTTGCTAAACCTTTCTGATCTGTCCAAATTATGCAGAGATATACATTTGGAATTGTATGTATGTCAGTGTTGGTGGGGGTGGGGGCTTTTTAATTGGATGTTAGAAATCTGAGTGACATTCTTGTTTTGAGTTGTTTTTGGATTCTGATCTCGTTTATCGATCCCAAAAATCCGAAAATAGTGGGATCGTACGCAATCTTAGTTTTTTTTTCGTATTTTCTTACTTTTAGATGTGCTGCTAAGAAAGTTTGTTTTTGTACTTTTTGGAACGGTGTCCACCTCTTGAACATTTTCGACTCTACAAATCGTAGAAGTTACCTAATCTATCTGACAGATTCCTTATTGTCTTGCTCATTTTTGGTTCATGTGGGTTTGTTCCATCGAAGATCCGTGATTACATACTTTTTGAACCATGCGGTTTGGAAAATTTCTACACTTCTAATATGCTGGGGAAGGATATCCAGGAAAATTGGGCCATCAATTGATGTCTATCTGTTGTGATCTGCCTTCTCCAGCATACATTATGGGGTCCTGTTTTTTTATCTGTATCCTTGTTTACCTTGATGTGTTTATTTTGGGTTCTGTTATGTATATGGGGAGTCTGGGATTAAATTTTCAGATGCTCTTGTGGTTGCATCCACACAAAGGTATGGTATTTATTTTTCAGTGAAATGTTCTGTCGTTCCTAGGAACTATTTGTTGCTTATTTTTCAATAATCTTATATATATTGGTACATGTTGTCTTCAAACTATTTTAATAAAATACACATTTCAAAGGGTGTGGTGGATTGATGATACACTAGCTATCTTATTAGATAGATGTCAAGCCCGGCTCATTATGAGACCTTCTTTACCAATAAGGTCATGGAAACAGACTCCATTCAACATCTGTCTGAGCTTATGCACTCCTTTCCATACACTTGTTCGTTTTTATAATAAAAGCTATAAACGTGATATATTTTCTGATTATCTTGTCTTGACTCGCCTATTATTATCAATTAACAAGTTTCATGCTTAGTCTATCAATCTGTGTTTGAAACCATAATATTGTGATTTATGGGGGAACACTTCATTTTTTTGGGAGGGCAAACTTCATTTTAACCTTTTTAGTTAGATCCATTTTTTTTTTTAATTTTTTTTTGGGAGGGGGAGGAAGAAGGGGGTTTGAACCTTTGACCTCAAGAAGACAAAGTTTTCACAAGGTAAGGAGTACCATTGGACCAAAGACCCATCGGTGTAATTAGATCCATTAGCACATCACCTCCCTTACCTTCGAAGATAGCCATATAACTCTCACATGGGTTGGGATGGAACAGCATCCGTGTGCAGAGAATGATGAAGATGCACAGTTATAAATTCATCCAAATTGACAGAATTTAACAAGGACCTTAATACACTTATCAATTATTTTGAATTTCACCACCTCCAACTCCGACAGACCCCTAAAACCTCCCCCTTACCCCAATCTGTTCACAATAACTAACACCCACTACAAACACACACTGCATACACCACCACCACCACAACCCACTCACAACCACCATCACACAGCTCATAATAGAGCCAGTTTAGGTTAGATCTACTACCAGATGGGCTGCTGCATAGTCTTGAATCCCATTGTCAGAGCAGGCAAAGGCGAGTGCTTCAGAAGTTAAAAAATATTGATGCTATAAATTTGCAGATAAGTGTATAGCTATAATTAATCACCAAAACATTGAGAAGCAGAGACGTGAGTTCACTCAATTCAACGCCAACTTCCAAACTCGATGAATACAAGATCAATTTTCACTGATTTATGTGTGCTTTGATACCTTCTAGTAGGATTATCTAGGGTTTGACACTCCTCATATTGATAAAAGAGAAGAAATCTGGAAATGGTAGTGTAGTGATGGGTCGTTTGTTTTCAAAGTTGGGTTAGAGTGTTTATTACTGTGGGTCATAAGGGTGGTTTTGTCTTCTGACTATATTTAATTTAAGGGAATTTTTTTGCCACATCATCAATTCCGTTAATTTTGAAGGAATTGGTAACTGTGTATTTTGGTCCACATAACATGTGCGGGTTATGCAANTAAGGGAATTTTTTTGCCACATCATCAATTCCGTTAATTTTGAAGGAATTGGTAACTTTGTATTTTGGTCCACATAACATGTGCGGGTTATGCTGTTGTTTTTGAAGGTCTTGGGGGTGATGTGCAAATGGGTCTAACCAAAGGGACCTAAAATGAAGTTTGTCATTTTTCTTCCAATTATAGTTTGCGATGATGACAAACTGATAGGTTGAAAATTGAAAAATCTACTTTATTAAAAAAAATGCAGAACAAAAAAGCTGATTCAAGTAGTAATTTGACTATTTTATATTGATTGACTCGTTTGTACTTAATGCTGCCCAGTAGCCATTTAGAATGTTGATTATTGTTATTTACTTACCACTTACCATTCAGTTTGAGCTTTGGCTGTGTCTTGATGGGCATCTGAAAATGTTTGTTTTATGCTCAACGTGTCATTTCAGCTAAAATCTGTCTTGTTTTGTAAATTACAATTTATTTTCTGGAAAACAGATTGGTAAACTTTCATTTATAGTTGAAAATTTATTCTCTAATCCTCCTTCCTTTTGTGTGGGGAGCATAAGAATGATTAGAGGATGTATGTATTGTTTATCTGCTTTGATGCTTGGTTCCCAATATAGAACTAATATTTGAAAAATCTCTTCCTCAAGTTCTGCATTCAGTTTAGTTGATTAGCTACATTTGCTTTGCTTCTAGTGGGATACGAAGTTCCAAAGCAACACATTGGAAGTGGCATTTACTGTGTTCTCCATCACAGCGTGACATAGAGAAGTCTGATGGGTTCCAGATTCCCATCTCATCAACTCAGCAATGGCCTTTATGTATCAGGCCGTCCTGAACAGCCAAAAGAAAGGACTCCAACAATGAGCTCAGTGGCCATGCCTTATACAGGTGGTGACATCAAGAAGTCAGGAGAGCTTGGGAAAATGTTTGACCTCCCTGTGGATGGATCCAAGTCAAGGAAATCTGGTCCTATAACTAATTCTCTTTCAAGGACTGGATCTTTCGCAGGTGCTGCGTCACATTCAGGACCTATCATGCCTAATTCTGCAGCTCGGGCCAGCTATTCCACCTCAGGTCCTGCATCATCTGGTGGGCTTTCTGGTTCAACTTCGGTGAAGAAGTCGAATTCTGGACCGCTGAATAAACATGGGGAACCGTTAAAGAAAACATCTGGTCCTCAATCTGGTGGAGTGACACCGCTTACCCGCCAAAACTCAGGTCCTCTACCACCAGTTCTTCCTCCAACAGGTCTTATTACATCTGGTCCCATCTCTTCCGGTCCATTAAATTCATCTGGGGCGCCACGGAAGGTTTCTGGTCCTTTAGACTCAATGGGGTCACTGAAAGTTCATGGTTCTTCTGTTGCTAACAACCAGGCTGTGACAACTCTTAGCCAAGATGATGATTACTCTTTTAAGAGGAACTTCCCAAAACCTATATTGTGGTCAATGATTCTGCTATTTGTGATGGGCTTCATTGCTGGTGGTTTTATTCTTGGAGCTGTCCATAATGCTATTCTTCTTATCGTCGTTGTGGGTCTATTCGGCATTGTTGCTGCATTATTCATCTGGAATACGTGTTGGGGGAGAAGAGCAGTCGTAGGTTTCATTGGCCGTTATCCGGATGCTGAGCTCAGAACAGCCAAAAATGGGCAGTATGTGAAAGTATCTGGGGTACGTACTTTCGTGACAATGCTAAATCATCTGTTTCTGTTTCAGTTTGTGTCCAATAGTGATGCATCAACTAGTGATTTAGGTCCATAACCAATTTAACCCTTTTGTGTTTGTCTTGGATATGGTACTTTTTACATGGTANATTTAGGTCCATAACCAATTTAACCCTTTTGTGTTTGTCTTGGATATGGTACTTTTTTTATGGTCATATTCTGCATGGGTATATTTTAGGCAAAAGATGAATCCATAAACCATGTTCATTGCCATTATCAATGAACCTCTTCCCCAACACCAAAAAGAAGAAATGACCTTGTATTGCATGGCGTTGTTAGCGTAATGGAAGCATGCATGTGAGTGGCATATGATTATTTGCCTTTTCCCTCTATCTATATGCAATCCCGTGATCATTACCACTGCCAACCTCTATGGATCACTGCCAAATCATCACCCAACACATGGCGTCACGTAATAACCCTGTCTATACCGCCAACCTACTTTGATCCTCCATCGCCAATTTACCATCTTTACCTCAACTAACCATTATTTTGAAAGTGCTTGCAACCATTTAATGATGAGCTTAGAGTCTACAACCTCGAGTTAACTTTGGGAATTTTCTTTTTGACAAAAACATTTATAAGCATTGTCACAATTGTAACTGTCTGTCAAGCCTGTTAGGCAAAATAATTTTCATAAAAATCCGTGGGTTATGCAAATATATATACATGCTTGGGGGTTTTAGCAACACCACCCCTCAAGTTCAGGGGTCAAGCTTGTCATTCAGCCCATTAAGATTACTTTTTGACAAGTTCTCTATTTTTAAGATTGAAGCTGAAAACTATTTGATTGTTATTGTACTAGATATGCTTAGAAAGAAATTTATTGGATTGATCTTACTATATGTATGCTTTTGTTACCATTTATCTGCTGGCATATGCTTAATGGAATTCTATTACAAGTTTTAAAGTTATGGTTGGCTATATTTATGAAGGTGGTGACCTGTGGAAATGTGCCCCTTGAATCCTCCTTCCAAAAAGTTCCCAGATGTGTCTATACATCTACAAGTTTATATGAGTACCGTGGATGGGATTCGAAAGCCGCCAATCCTACACATCGTCGTTTGACGTGGGGACTTAGATCATCAGAAGTGAGTGGCAGATATAATATCCTCAGTATCTTGATAAATTGATTGTCATCTCTGCTTAACTTTTTTCTCATTCCTTTAGTTCTTAGCTGAAATTCTATGTTTTGATAGCGCATAAATATTTATGCATTTGCTATTTTGTCCTCAAAAGGATCAAGATCTCATGTCCGAAATGTCTTGGTCATGGTGATGCATTGTGATAGATATGGTTGGCTACCTCCTTAATGGTGATCACCTTTAGTAAGGTTTCTTTGGTTATGGGGTCGAACATCTCTTGAAGTTTATTGCAATGGATTATTCTGGTGGTACAACTGAAGTTCCATTTTTTGACTGGAATCTTTTGTTTTAATTTCTTGGCAGAGGCATGTGGTTGACTTCTACATATCTGATTTCCAGTCTGGATTGAGAGCTTTGGTTAAGACTGGCTACAGTGCAAGGGTAACTCCCTATGTTGAGGAATCCGTTGTTGTTGATGTCAACCCTCTGAATAAAGATTTATCTCCAGAATTTATCAGATGGTTGGGAGCGAGGAACCTTTCAAGCGATGATCGTGTGATGCGATTGAAAGAAGGGTAAAATATTTTTTGAAGCTGAAAGACTTGAACTTCTTGGTGCACTTAATCTACAACTACGAAAAATTGGTCATGAACTCCACTCCCCCCCCCCCCCCCCCCCCCCCTTTTTCCTC